ACAAAATGATTAAAAAGAGACACAAAATAACCACAAAGAGACACAAAATGACCACAAAATTATCCAAAAGTGACAAAATTATTAAATAGAGACAAAAAATAACCAGAAACCAACATAAAATGATCTAAACAAAACACAAAACGACCACACAGAGACACAAAATGACTGAGGAGACACAAAGGGACCAAGGTTTATTCCTACACAAACATTCATGGTTGTGTAGCTCGTAGGAAGCAGCACAGTTCCCTCAAACAGGGTCATTGTGTCTCTTCAGAACCGTGCCGTCCATCAGCCTTCAGCTCTGATCAATCAGGCTGATTGACAAACCGATCGGCGCCGCTTCCTGCTGCTCTGCTGGAGACTCACACGAAAACGAGGACGTAACCGACGTGTTCTTCAGGCTTCTGTCACATCCGGTCACCGTCCATACTCCACTTCACTCTACAGGGGAAGTACTTGGACATATTCAGCTCATGTATTATTGGTTAAACCCACACAGAGAGGGAGTGGACATATTCAGAACCCGGTCGTTCTGTCATTAGAGGTGGATCTCTCTGGTGGATTGACAGCATCATGAACAGGGTGAGTTCTCTCTACATGCATCACCTTCACTGTTGTACAGACACAACAGGACACAACTTGTTTTGAGGCTGTCATGTAGAGGCGCTTTTAGCTACAGATTTATTTGGGTGTCAGTCATTCTGGGAGCTAAATGTCAGATTAATCCAGACAAAAGGTCCGTTTTTATTATTATTATTATTCCAAGGAGTCATTAGTTGTCGTAAATACAGTTGAAGAGAGCTGATTTATTTATTTATTTTACAAAAGCTGCTTCATTTTCTGTTGGCCTGTTTGTCATCAATTCTAAACCTAATGGAATAACTGATGACCTTATTAAAGATCCAGGTACAGTCCAAGAAAATATAAAAGCACGGACACGTTTTGCCTCATCTGCTTTAAACTGACCCACAAAAAGTCAGAAACGCCACCAAAAACAGAAAAAGAAAAAGAAAGTTGAACATTTCTACCAGTCTGATGCCAGGTTTTATTGGATTCCCACATGTCCTCCAGTCGGTTCCTCAGAGCTGCTCTATCTGACTTCAGGCTAAAGTCACGCAGCATTTTCACTTGTGGTTCCGTGTTGGTCCTGCAGCAGCCAGATCTCAGCACCCAGCATGTTCTCGGTTCTCTCCGCAGCTCCTCCTCCTCGCTGCGCTGCTCCTGCTCTCCGTCCTCCCCGCTGCGCCGGCGGAGGAGTCCGTTCCCACCTTCGAGCACCGGGACCCTTTTACCGGGGAGACCCTCAGCTGCGCCAAGTGTCCACCGGGAACCCACGTGGTCGCGCACTGCACGGCCAGCACGCCGACGCAGTGCGCGCCGTGCGGGGAGGACCGCTTCACGGCGCTGTGGAACTACCTGCCCAGGTGCCTCTACTGCAGCAACTTCTGCAGCGACAACGAGGAGGTGGAGACCGAGTGCTCCCCGACCACCAACCGCGTCTGCCGGTGCCGGCAGGGCTTCTACCGGCTGGATGACTTCTGTGTCGTCACTCCGAGTGCGGCCCCGGACAGGGAGTTCCAACCACAGGTAGGCGGACCGGAAGAGCGACACCAACGTCCTGTTGTGGTACAAGTGTTGAATTCCAGATGGGGATTTAGTGGAACTTGTGCGTCTTTACGCACGGGTGAACGGAAGATGATTGATCTAGAAATACTTTTAAACTGGGCATTAAATTGTCAGAGGGTCTTCACTGAGTGCAGCTTTGCAGCGTGTGGTTTTCAAAATAAAGGTCCACCAGGTGCAGAGCAAATAGTGCGCAGTTAAAAACAAACAAACAAACAAACAAAACCTGTTTTAGCAGTTTGAGTTTTTTGTTATGTGACAGTTTTTCACAGTTATGTTAAATTGTTAAAATTGTTAAATATCTAAGAAAATCACACAAAGAATGATTAATTTGCATATTAACTAAGGCATAAAAATTCTGTATTTTACAAACATTCATTTTTTCCCTTTTTTTTAATACAAATTTTGACTGTAAAATGACACTACAGTTTATGCATTTAAATTGCACAAAAATCCAGTATTTTACAGAAGTTTACTTTTATTTGAAAGAATTAAGACAATATAATAAATATATTTGATATAATATATTATTCCATTAAGACTAGTGGTGCAGAGACAACGCAGAGGAGCTTCGGTGACGCCGCCGGGACTGACGACCACATCTGAAATCGATGGGACCCGTGGAGGCACCTGGAGCTCCAGTAAAACACCTCCGGCTCCCAGTTTATGTGCATTTGTGTGTGTGTCTGTGGTGTTTATGGGGCTGCAGCAGCATATTACAGAAAGCACCGAAGAAAATCAGGTTTCTGTTTGGTTGTAAAATCCTGTGCAGAAGATGACTGAAATAGAGACTTAGCTGAGGGCTGCAACTTATTTTATTTCAGCTTGTATTTGTTGACACGTAAAAAATAAAGCAGCAGAATTATCTGCTAGCAGCTGCTGTTTGTGGTGCATCACAGATGAACAGACTGGATCACTGTGATGCTGAAGGAGACTAAAAACAGACAGATTCTCAATGGAGTTCTGAACTGTGTCTTTCTTGGGTTTCTATGAAGATTTATAGTTTATGGTTTATCCTGTACATCTACATAATGAATAAAAGCTCAAAGATTATTTTAATTAGGTAATGTTTTTCCAGAACAAATAAACAAACAAAGCCTTTCTGTAGTTTTTGGTTTGTATTAATGTACAATTTTGTGTTTTTAGTCGTTATTCTTGCACAGTATCAGAAACTAAAGCAGGAGGATCTCTGAGACTGAGGGAAACTTAAAAACAGACAGATTCTCAATGGAGTTCTGAACTGTGTCTGTCTCAAGCATCTACGCAAATTTCAAAGTAAATCTGTTCTGTACATAATGAATCAAAACTTGGATTTTGATCGATTCAGCTGTTGTTTCTCCAAAGAACGATCAATTCCTGTTGTTTTTGTTCTGCATTATTTTACAATTTCTTGTTTCTGGTCTTTATTTGAGCACACTTTAAGGAAATAAAGCAGCAGAATCATCTATTAGCAGCTCCTGCTTTTAGTGAATCATGAATATAAAGACAGCTATCACTGGATCTCTGTGATATTAAAGGAAGCTTAAAAACAGACAAATTCTTGATGGAGTTCTGAACGCTTTCTTTCTTGGCTTTCTAGGCAAACTTCTAGGCTTGACTTTATGATCTGCTCTTTATATAATAAACAAAAGCTTAAATATTGATTTCATTTGTTGCAGTTTTTCAAAAATCTATCAATTCCTGTTGTTTTTCGTCTCTATTAATTTACAATTTCTTGTTTTCGGTCTTTATTTGTGCACATTTTGAGAAAATAAAGCAGCAGAATTCTCTATTAGCAGCTCCTGTTTACAGTGAATCATGAATGTACAGACAACTATGACTGGATCTCTGTGATACTGGAGGAAACTTAAAAACAGACAAATTCTCAATGGAGTTCTGAACTGTGTCTTTTTGGGGTTTCTATGACAACTTCCAGGCATGTCTTTACCATCTATTCTGTACATCTATATAGTGAATACAAGCTTAAATGTTGATTTCATTTTTCCAAAAGTCTATTAATTCCTGTTGTTTTTGGTCTTTATTCTTACAGTTTTTCAAGTCATCTGGTCCTAATGCGATAATGTGTAGCTTTAAACCAGATCATACAAAGATGGAAAAAGTCTTTTTTTTTGTTCAGTGACCTGCAGCATTAAACCACGTTTGCTGTAAATCAACAGGAACTGGAAGCTTTTAAGTCGTGCCACATGCCTCCTCCTTCATCTTAATATGTTAAACTTCTGTTTCGCTGCTCTCCGGATCACCAACATGCTGACAGAGTATTGTACAGCTTTTGTCAGAAAACCACCCTCCTCTGTTCCTCTACAGTGTCTCCTTAGATCTCTCTGTCCTGCGAGGCGGATTTCCTGTAAAATTAGTGTGAGGAGCGGTGTAGCTGCGTGTTAAAACGCCAACATGGCTGCTGTTAGCGCCGCTCTGCCTCGTGTCTCTGTCACGGCGTTGCCTTCTCCTGAAAGCACAAATCAATCAGCGCTGCGGCGTTACGTTTAATGAGCCGTTATCTTGAGAGGAATCACAGACGAGGCCTCTTATTACCCCGCTGCCGTCACGAAACTCGCCCAGGACTTTATTCTCATCGCTGGAACATCAAAGTGGATTCTGCAGCCGTCAAATCGCTGACGATAATGAAGTGGATCGTCTTCGGGAAGCAGGAAGGTGCGAGTCGGGATGAGTCTCCCATAATGACCCGCCAATAAGAGAAACACATCACAGATTCGGTTTGATGTGGAAACGCTGCAGAGAAGACGGAGTTAGAACTTACTTTATTGCTGGCGTGACGTGTGATTGTGTGTGTGTTAGCAGGACGTCTGATTTGTCGTCACTGGAGTCCAACAGCGTCGTCTTCACATGAAGTCATCATGAAGGTCTGATTTATAAACTGTGCAGTGGATTCAACGGGGCCTGCAGCACTTTGTAACAATGCCTTCTTACTTTCTTCACCTATTAAACAGTCAGTATTCATGTCAAAAGTGTGAAATACCTGGATATTAATGCATATAGGTGTAAAAAAAACCTCAATAATAATCTTCAGTGTTAAAAGACGTTGACTCTAATGCACCAAGCTGTCAAGTATGTAGATAATTACCCATCAAAGTGTCAAAACCCTCCACATTAACCTTCAAAATATCAAAAACCTTAATATTAATGCACAAAAAAACCCTGGATGTCAATATTCAAAACATCAAAACCTGGATATTAATGCATCAAAGTCAAAAACTTGGAACATTAATCTTCCAAACGTCAAAACCCTGGCTGGTTATTGATGCATTAATGTGTAAAAGAACCTGTCAAAACCTGGCTAACAACACACAAACGTGTCAAAACCTCTATATTATTCTTAAAAGCATCACACAAACAAATCTATTTAATGCACATGAGCGTTAAAAAACCTGAATGCTAACCTTGAAAACATCAAAAACCTGAATAATAACCCATCAAAGTGTTAAAAACCTTCGTGTTACCATTGGAAATGTCAAAACCGTTGATGACAACACACCAAAGCTTCAAAAACCTCAAATAAAATCCTTCTAGCCTTGATTTTAATCCATCAAAGTGTTAAACTCTTCACATTAGCCTCCAAAATGTAAAAAAGAAAAACTCTAAATTTAATGCATTACGTGTGAAAGCCTTCACATTAACCTTTAAAACCATAAAAACCTCAATATTTATGCATAAAAGTGTCTAAAAACCTTCAATTCATGCTACAAAGTGAAAAAAAAATCTCTGGAAGAGCTCGTGTCTGGACGCCGCTGTCCGCAGGATGTTCACAGAATGACCTGATTGCTAAAGCAGTCGATGGTTCCTCTTTGGATGAACAGAGGTTCCTCTTTTGGTGAACAGATGTCTCCTGTGTATCCTGTGATTGCCAAACTGTGCTCTTTGCTATTACCAAATAGGTGAACCAGATCCATGAGGTATCACATATATGGGCTAAAGGTGAAGCACCTGTTAGAAATGTGTGTGTAATCAGGTGTATGTGCTGAGGATAAAAACTGTGTGTTAGCAGTAAACGTGTGGAGGGGAGAGTTGAATCCAGCATAAAAAGGCCTGACAAAGAGACTTCAGACGGAGTTCGTGGAGACTGCTCATGATGGAGACGGCGGAGTTCTTCACGGGACGTCGTTGGAGCTGAACACTCCTCCACCGATTGAAGAAGTCCTGATGGGTCTGCAAATTCTACTGAAGAGGAGCAGCAGAACCCCTTTCTGTGTTCTGCATGAAGAAGTGTTCTTTTCCTTCCCCAAATGGATGCTAAAGAACTGCAGATCTGATCAGAGTCTGGACTTCTCATCTCCCCCTGACTCAGGAGGGTTTTGTCCGGGGATCAGGACTCTGTACTGGGTTGCTGCATCACTGGAAGAGGACTCCTCCAGGTTCAGGTCTGAGCAGGGCTGAGTTAACCAGCTATGGTCAGGCTGTCCGGCTCTCCCTCTCCCCAAATTATTTATTAGGTTACTGTTTTAGAAAAGCTCAGTTCTATCATTTTATCTCGAATCAATTTAATCATATCTTGAAATGTTTTGAATGAATCATCAAGAGCTGTTGCTTTGCCCCTGATAAAGATTTGCAATAAATATTTAATCCTGCATTTAAAGTTTATTTGGTTTCAACTTTCATTGACTCGTTCATAGAATCTGAAGGTGGTGAAAAGTTAGTTAGTTGTGTGCATGAGATCTTTATGGAGGTTCTTCATGGTTACTCTAAGTCATGAGTGAAATAATATTTTTAAACATGTCTCTGGGGTTCGTTGTGCCAAACTTCTACATTTTAACCCAGCAACTGACCAAGTACTCGATCCATTAAGAGGAAAGCTGCCACGAACAGGCGTGTCTGGTAGAGTGATCAGACTACTGAGGCTACTGAGTTGGGTCAACTATTAGAAGAAGCGGGGTAGACGTCTGGATTAGGGCAGTTAGAAGCTCGGCCAGTTTCCTCGACACCAGCTTAAGCAGTTCTACAGAATCCTAGTAGGTCAAGAACCTGTAGGCAGGTAGAACCGAACCCTAGAAACAGAGAGCTGGACCAGTAGCCCTGTTACAGGCAAGGATCAACAACGTAGCAACAACGGTGACATTTCAATGCGTCTGGTCCTTTGGTTAGCCCTGTGATAGACTGGTTACCTGTCCAGGGTGTCCCCTGCCTTCGCCCTAAGTCAGCTGGGATAGGCTCCAGCCCCCCGCGACCCTAATGAGGATTAAGTGGTGTATAGATAATGGATGGATGGATGGTCCTTTGGTTTACACGTAAACGAAGCTACGTGGAGATTTGGAGAAACTCCATCTTTACTTTTGCATGTAGACACGAGGAGATGGAGTTTGACATCACAGTGTGCGACAAAAGCGTCATCAGCGTCATGTGTGCGAACATGTTTACAGTTTGGCTGCTGTGATAGAAAAAGATGCTGTTGAAGCAGAGCTGGTTTTAACGTTTGTGCAACAGTTTTGGCCTGTTTGCATTCACATTCAGAAATGTTCCATTATGTGGAGGAGCTTCTCTATCTGTCCAAACAAACGACCCTCGCACCAATATAGTTGAAGTAATAGGAAGTAATTTGTGCCATTCGTTGTGCTTTTTTCCAGGATTCTGATTGACTAGCATGGCTTTATGCTTCTCGTGATACTGCCTTTGAAAACGATCTGGTGTGAACATTGTTATTTCTGGAAACGTAGATCAGTTTTTGTAAATTCCCGGCTATGTGTAAACGTGGCCTCAGTCTCTGAACCGTGACAGTACGGTTCAGCCACAACGAACTCAGCAGACAATACAACTGGCGCTGACCAAACGTCTCCAATGCTAACTCAAGCTATGGCTAGCCCCGGTGTAATGGTGGAGCGTCATGGGAAATGATAAATGGACTGCACTTATATGTATATAGAGAGAGCTTTTCTACCTTTTTGGCTTTATTGTATTTGGGAGAAACTTTGGGTTCAGTGTCTTGTCCAAGGACATGTGGACTGTGGAGGGGCCGGGGATTGAACCGCCAGCCTTACTATCAGAGGACAATCGCTTGACCACCTGAGCCACAGCCTGTGTCGAAAGCCCCGACTCCGAGCCAAGTTGCGGCTAATCCTGTTGTCTCTCCACCTGCAATGACTCTTGAACCATTTGTACCTGGTGAGCGTTATTCTGGTGATTTAGCTTAGTTCCTGTTCCTGTGTATAATATCAGAAAGTATTTGAATTATCAATATAACATTTTTACAGGTACAATGTTAAATGTATATAGTTGATGATAAAACAGCTGATCAGAGGTGGTTGAGCAGAAGGCCTCTGATGGTCTGATGAGTGAACAAAACATCTATTTCCTTTCTCATACAGTATGTTTGCGATCAAAACGTCATCTGAGCTCGTTACAGGAGCCTCCAGAACCAGCAGACTTACAGCAAACAATTATTCATATTTCATTCTGTTCAACCTGAAGCTGGATTCAGACTGTTGCAACACGCTGCTGCACATTACAGCTGACAAGCCCTGGATTTAATCATTGTTGTGGAATGAAACAGAGGCTGAAAAACAGGTGAGGCAGGAGGAGAGGTATGAGGAAGCTCCGCCCCTCACCTGTCTCACCTCACACAAACCAGGAAACACTTTGTGATTATTAATCGGTAAAGAGACGCTCAGACGATCGGACCGAGCTTCAGCTACAACACTGCTGCTTCCAGCTGCTGACACTGAAGGTGAGTCTGAGCAGAAACAACACTCCCCAGGTAGAACTTTTTAGTTCTTAGAACGTTCTTAGAATGTTGACTGGAACTTTGTTGCAATGTTTTCAGCA